ATGTTAGAAGATGGAGTAATCGAAGAATCATCAAGTCCATGGTCATCTCCTTCGTTGTTTTGGTGACGAAGAAAGATGGTAGTACACGATTCTGCGTGGACTATCAGAAGCTCAATGACGTCACTGGAAGGCGACAGCTACCACTGCCAGCGTATAGACGACACGTTAACCACACTGGCAGGTTCGTGCTGGTTCTCCACTCTCGACTTAAAGAGTGTGATACCTGGGCAAGTTGGTCTAGACGAGGAAGACAAAGAAAAGACGGCTTTTTCTACAGGAAACGGACTATATCAATTCAAGGTCATGCTGTTTGGATTATGCAATGCTCCAGCCACTTTCGAACGTCTCATGGAGGTGGTGGTAAGAGGATTAACTTGGAAAACGTGCTTGGTTTAATTCCGACGATGTATTGGTTATGGGAAGAACTTTTTGAGGAGCATTTGCGAAATTTAGAAGAAGTCTTCGGCCGCATAAGGAATGCGCACCTGTACTTGAACCCGAAGAAGTGTAGCTTTTATTCCAGCGACAAGTGGAATTCTTGGGTCATGTAGTTTCGGCAGACGGAATTTACACCGATCAGAAGAAAATCGCTGCAATCAAGGATTGGCCTAAACTTCGCGACAAACATGAACTTAGAAGTTTCCTGGTTTATGCAACTTGACTACAGAAGATTTGTCAAGGGATATGCTAATATAGCTGCACCCTTACATAGGCTTACAGGTGATGAAGTCGACTACGAATGGAACACCGATTGTGATGTAGCCTTTTGAAGACTTAAGGCGGCTTTATGTTCAAGTCCTATTTTAGCGTACCCACAACAACAAGGGAGGTATATCCTGGACACAGACGCCAGCAACATCGGCATAGGAGCAGTGCTATCACAAGTCCAAGATGGCGAAGAACGAGTGGTAGAATATTACAGTCGAGTTCTATCCAAACCGGAAAGGAATTACTGCGTTACCCGGAAGGAGCTGCTAGCAATTGTAAAAGCAGTTGATCATTTCCATAAATGTCTGTATGGCCAAGAATTTTAATTAGGTACAGATCATGTGCGCAATCTCACGACCGCACGGCTATGGCTGGAGATGAAACAACCTTGAAGGTCAAATAGCACGATGGCTCGAGAAGCTCCAGCAGTATCACTTTACCATCCAACATCGTGCTGGGAAGATGCATGGTAATCGCAGACGGGTTATCCATAAAGACCCCTGTCAAACCGATTGTAAGCACTGGCTGTAAAACGGAACAACGTGAAGGCACTGTCATGATAAGGGAGTTTTAAACTTGGAACCGATGAACAGTGGACGACGACACAATTGAAGAAAGATCAAATGGAAGATCCAGACATCGGAGCAATACTACGACTCAAGGAAGGTAACGGCGAGAGACACCGTGGCAGGATATTATGCGGACAGAGGGCTTCCGTTTCAAAGCTCTCTGGGCTCAGTGGAATTCCACTGGTTATTGAGAATGGATTGTTAAAGCGCACATGGGAAAGTGCGGGATGGCAGCACAGTAACAACTCAGTTACTGGTACCAAGGAAGAAAGTTACCCAGGTATTGAAGAAATTCACGGTGGTAAAACTGGAGCCCATCTTGAGTAAACAAGACCCTTGAGCAAGCTGAGAGAGATTGCTTTTACTGCGTGGATTATTGCGAAGATGTCAAGAAATGGTGTCGACAATGTAAAATTTGTGCAGCCAGCCAAGGACCAAGCACTCTGATCTAGGGGAAAAATGAAACAATATAACGTTGGACTGCCATTCGAAAGAATCGCTGTTGACATTGCAGGCCCATTCCCCGAAAAAAGCACAAGGGCAACAAGTACGTTTTAGCGGCGATGGATTATTTCCCAGTAATGGCCAGAAGTTTTTGCCATTCCAAACCAAGAAGCATCGACTGTAGCTGAAGTATTAGTCAATAATGTCTTCAGTAGATTTAAATTCTCTTTAGAGCTTCAATGACTTTGACCAAGGAAGGAACTTCGAGTCAAGACTGTTCCAGAAGATGTGTGATCTGCTTGGTATTCACAAGACTAGGACAACAGCTTTACATCCGCAGTCTGATGGGATGGTCGAGAGATTCAATAAGACCATTGAAGAACATCTCTCGAAAATGGTGGATGAACATCAAAGAGATTGGGATCAGCATATACCACTATTCCTAATGGCATATAGAAGTGCAGTTCACAACACCACCGACTTTCACCATCGAAGATTTTATTTGGTCGAGAATTACGGTTGCCTTGGTGACTTGGTTCCTGGATCACCAGACGACAGAACCACGAACGTAGAGGACTACGCGGATGAACTGAAGGAAAGGTTATTGGGAATTCATAAGGCCGTGAGAAGTAAGATTACGCTAGCCAGTGACCGGATGAAAGCTCGTTACGACCTCAGAGCTAATTCTACGGGATTTCAACAAGACGATAGGGTATGGTTGTATAACCCACAGCGCAAGAAAGGAAGGTCCCCAAAGTTAACTCCAGCATGGGAAGGTCCCCAAAGTTAACTCCAGCATGGGAAGGTCCTTATACAGTTATCAAGAGGATAAATGATGTTGTGTACCGGATTCAACGCAGCCCTAGAAGTAAGATGAAAGTAGTTCATCTGGATCGATTGAAGAGATACCAGACAGGAAACCTTGATCGGGACGATCAAATTTGAGAAGGGGGCAATGTCAAGGTGTATTACTGGTTGCATAACTGCATACTGCTAAAAATCGCAACGTGCATTGAGGAACCTGGCGCATTCGCCAGAAAGTAAAGAAAATTATAGAATTCTTTAGAAAAATCTAGAAACAACCGCCAGGGGGTATATAAGGCCCGCGCTTTGACAGTTGGACAAGTTTGAAGTTTTTAAAGTTTGAAGTCTGAAGTCTGAAGTTTGAAAATACCGCGAAATACCGTTAGAGTAATAGTAGTTCCATAAGTTGTGTTGTAAATAGTATAAGTTGTGTGTACAGAGTGAAACAAATAAATTCGTTAAGTATTTTATCGTGAGTTTAAATAGTGTACCCACGGAATCCGTAACAATATATTGTATTTATTAACTGTATATTATGTATATTTCATGTAAACTATATCATTTTTAAAATACAAACCAAAAATACGAGGATTAATTATGTTTTCCATCTACTACATATTTATTAATCCGTAGTATCTAACTAGCGTTGTCAAAAGCTGATGACATTTTACTTTTGACAATTATGTCATTTCGTGTTGATTTTTGCAAGAAGAGGAAGAACCAATGACTAAAGAATATAAGGACATGTAACGCCCCTATACGGGCTGCAGCAAAATTTGTGACCTGGACGCCTTTTCTTTTGGTGGCAAACAATGAGTCATCAGCTGGTCACCAACAACAATTTTAGCAATTTTTAATAGTTTGTGTGTAGTGAACTTTGTATAAACTTTATTACAATGCTGATTAGTTGTTCAGCTTTCAAATGTAAAAGCAGCAGTGACAAGAAAGAGCCAGGTGTTACGTTTCATAGGTAAATAAACAGTCCGCTCCACCTTTTTAGCGTTTTCTTATTGAATTCGATAATTATTTTTCTGATATTATATGTACTCGATGTGTGCTATACGTCGATACTAGGTTTGTACCTTTTGTTAACATTTTAATACGTTTTTTTCGTAATTAATTAGTATGATGCCACCACCTACACCATAGGCGTAGTCACAACATTTATTAAAAATATAAATATCCCTTCAACTAGCTAAGTTAAGAAAAAAATATGGCCACGGCACTGTTTGGTGCCATGATAACAATTTGCTCTCGGTTGTTATTTGTCCTTGAATTCTTTAGTCAGTGGGAAGAACTGTCACTTGTTTTATTATTTTCCTTTTCTATTTCACGAACGTAAAAAGAGTTACCTATCTGATTCGTTCAGGCACTCAATTTAAAGAATATCAGTAACTTTTTTGACAGAGGGATTTTATGGGCCATGTTGGTTAAAAATAACGGTCAAAATTCAAAGTTATTCATTTTAACCTTTGAATAAGAAGACTTAAGGAGGGAACAATGCTATTCATGTATTCATGTGCATGGTGGGCGGAAAAAGGACTCTAGGGTGTGGATCCTTGACAGTTCTGTTTGACGATTCATTTGACACATTTGAATTTGATTTGAAATTTTGTGGATTTGTCAGTCTGTACGGAGCTTATTTTATATTATTTATTCTACTACTGATAGTTGTATAAAGGTAGTAAATCTAGATGGAAATTGTGGCAGAACTTAAATTAACAGTGACACTATCGCGATCTATCGAAAAAGACTCTAAAATAGTATAGTTGGTTGTCTAGCGTGCGGTAGATCTCGGCAAAAATCGAGTGAAATAATGGAACAACTTTTCGCTAGTGACTATATAATATACATACGTGTAGTAAATCGTTCATTTATGAAATTCACTTAAATTAAGTAATTATATAGTTTTTCTTGCATTTTTGCTTTTATTTACTACTTGTCAAAGATTAGATATCAAAGAATTTAGATACGTCAATTTGACTTACCTGCTTCAGTAGCGTATCGGGTGTTTGTGTTAATAAATAATTATTAAAACTTATCTATTTTTATTATAATAATATGTTTTTTTAACAATTTTAATAACTACCAACATTTATTCACAACGTAAAATAAAAAAAAAAATATTGAGTCTACCCCATGTCTACCCAACATCATAGTTTTACATTTTTTAAATAAAATTAAAACGGCACTGATAAACCGGAATTTAAGTCGGCCATATTTGAGTCCCATCGCGGTGGACCTAAGATTTTTGATATGCTCCTTCCTTAGTCTTCTTATTCAAAGATTTTAACTCAATTTAAAGAATACCAGTAACTTTTTTGACAGAGGGATTTTATATTTGCCATGTTGGTTAAAAATAACGGTCAAAATTCAAAGTTATTCATTTTATAGACTATATCTAAGGTATTTTTTTGTAAAGTGATAATATTTCAAAATACATTATAAAAGTTGTTTAAAATTAAATATTAATACCTGAGTATAGTTGAGGTTGGGCAACTTGTAAATCATTTTCTAATTTTGCTACCATGTCTCTGTAACCATCAACTACCTTTTCCAAATTATCAATGCGTTCTTTCTGGCTTTGTATTAGTTTTGCCCCAGGCGTATCATTGGTTGCATCCATTATTGTAAGATCTCTCTCATAAGAATCCAGTTGTAATCTATAACTATCCCTTTCACGACTGAGTAATAAAAGTTTACGGTGCATGCGGTGGATTAAGGCTTGTTTTTGGTCACCAGTTGCTTTAAGATCGCTAAGTAATTTTTGATTCTTTTCTAGTTCGGACTTGGCTACTTTAGCATCCTAAAAGTAAAAATATATTTTATAAATACTTTTTTAATAAATGTAAAGTAGGTGTTTACATCAGCAAAATAAAACACTAAATCACCGCACTACACCAAAACACTTACTTTTGCACTGTGTTTTAGCATCATTAGTAGATGATTAACACTAAACTAATATCTACAAAATGAGCGTTTATATACTCGCTCAGTTGGCTATGAGTAGTCGTGGCAAAACTAGCCAAGCGAGTCAAAACCAACCGAGCGTAACATTACTTACCGAAACTAGAGCAGTGAACAGAGAACTGGAAGGAATTGGGCCATTCTCTCTTGTTCATACTATCTTTACATTTATTAATTTTGACGCTCTCATATGCATCTAATTGCCTGTAATTTGAGACTTGTTTAATTAATTTTAAATTATTAATATCTATACAAGAGAGGTGGGCAAAGATTGAACAAGTCGTTCATTTTAAGAATAAGTGATATTCTTAAAAATTCTTTTTAAACCACAGGATAACTCGATCTCTATCAAACAGTACCTATTTAAAAATATATATGTCAAAATATTTTTCAATACTGTTTGATAGAGAGTTATCCCGTGGTTTAAAAAGAATTTTTAAAGAATGTCAAAATTATAATTATAAGCTTGTGTATAGTGCTAAGAAAAAATTACAACAATTATTAGGTAATCCTAAACAATCCTAAAGATAAAACACCTTCATTGGAAATGTCAGATATTTATAAAATTTCATATAAAGATTGTAATCAGAAATATGTTGGGCAAACTAGAAGATCAATATTAACTAGATTTAAAGAACATATGGCTCAGATAAGATATGGTAGACCGGATAAATCTTGCGTTGCTGAACATATTGTAGATAAAGAACATTACATAGGGGAGGATCGCCTAAGAGTACGCGTTCCCTAAGAGTACGCAGTCGTCATATTTTAAATTCGGCAACTCTGATTTTACGTCAACTGCGTTCAGTTACCGCCAATACTTCTCCGAGAACGATGTTAAAGTTTAGTGGTGTTCGCGCTTAAGGTCATATAAATACGGTAAGAAACTCGTTTTTGCATTTTTTTTATAATAATGAAATGAAAGCATGACCTATGGAAATACTTTCCTTCGTTAAAAATCCTTTTATACCCATTAAAAAGCGACTCCTATAGTAGGTTATCATGTACCAATTTTAAGGTTATGTTACATTTTTCTCTAGAAAAAGCCATTAGTGTAATATTCTCACGCGGTCGCCAAGAGTACGCAACCAAAGAGTACGCGCTTACTCTTAGGAGTACTTACTTACTTATATCCATAGTCCATACTCAAATCCACATCAAAATGGGAAAGTATAAAAGGAAAAGTAACCGAGAACTAAAATTTACTCAGGAAATGTTAGTCCAGGCTCAACAACGTTTTGCAAAAGGAGAGAGTAAAAGATCAGTAGCTAAATCATTCAATGTCAACGAGTGTTCGCTCAGAAAAAGGCTACGTTTGGTATATTATACTTAATACTCGCATTTCAACAGGATTTTATTTTTATAACTTTTAGGGCACTGTTCCAGCAAGTTTGGGAAGATTTAAACCAGTATTTACGGCAGAACAAGAGAAAAAATTAGCGAACCACATTCGCGAACTTGATGTCTGTTTTTATGGATTACGCGTTAGGGATGTAAGATCTTTAGCGTACCAGTTTTCTGAAGTCAATCATATTTCGCACCGATTAGATACAGAAAAAAAAAATGGCGGGCAAACATTGGGTTCAAGCCTTTGCCGCACGAAATTCATTGTCCGTGAGGAGTCTGAGGAAAAATGTAGCCTAGCTCGCACTATTGGGTTTAATAAAATACAATGCGACAGATTCTTTTAAAATTTAAAATCTGTTTATTCGAAAACAAATGCTCCAGCACATAGAGTCTTTAACATGGACGAGACTGGTCTTTCGACAGTCCCAAACAAACTTCCCAAGGTCTATGCTCCCAAGGGTAAAAAAACTGTTTCAAAAGTAGTCTCTGCCGAAAGAGGCCAATTGGTCACGGCTGTCTGCTGTATGAGAGCTTCGGGTATCTGGGTGCCACCGGGACTTATTTTCGCCAGAAAGCGCATGAAGGATGAACTGTTTTATGGCGCACCAGTAGGTACATTAAAGATGATTTCGGATACTGGATATACGAATTCGGAATTGTTTGTAACTTGGTTAAGACATTTCTGCGAATTCGTAAAGCCAACCAAAGCTGATCCAGTGGTATTGATATTAGATAACCATGTGTCCCATTGTTCGCTAGAAGCCATCTTATTTGCTAGAGAGCATTCCATAATTCTTTTAACGTTGTCTCCCCAAGGAAGCCACAAGATCCAACCTTTGGATCGCGGATTTTTCTTCCGATTAAAGTCAGCCTTGGCAAATGAATGTGATAAGTGGATGGCGAACAACGCTGGCAAAGCTATCACGATGAAAGAAATGGCCGCTCTCTTCCATGCAGCTTATTCAAAAGTAGCAACCATTCAAATTTGTGACAAATCTTTTGCGTGCACGGGCCTGTATCCATACAACCCAGACGTTTTTACTGAACATGATTTCGCACCAGCTGAAGTGACAAACAAGCCTAATATTGAAGCAGCACCTGAAACAACAATAATCAGGATGCAGCAACAACGGACGAAGAAGATAATTTACCGCTTTCTACATTTGCATCTAAAAATCGACAAAATGTTGCTGAAAATTCAGGTTATCAAAGTCCAACACCCACTAATTCATTAGATGCAACCAGTTTAGATGCTCCTGGCCCTTCTTCAGTAACTCCCAAAATGATTTTGACTTTTCCAAGTGCCAAGCACGAACAGACAAGAAAAAGAAAGTCCAAAAAATCAGAAATCCTTTCTTCTACACCATATAAAGACCAGTTGTTGGAAGAACAAGCAAAGAAAAACCCTACATCTGGTGTAAGAAATGTTTTCAAATCTACAGCTGAAAAACGTGACACAAAGAAAAAAAAATGAATAATAAGGATGATAAGACAATTTGCCCTGGATGCAACGAACATTTCAGCACTTCAGATTGGTTGCAGTGTCATAGTTGCCAGGAATGGTGGCATGAAGACTGCTCCAGTTACCAGGGAGGCAGTCAATTTTGTTGTGGCTTATGCGGTTTATAATTTTTTCATAAACTCTTAGTGTGTTCCATCATGAATTTTATATTTTAGTTCAGAATAAGCGATCTTATACCAGAGTTAATTTATATTTTTCATGCGTACTCTTGGGTATATACCTTGCGTACTCTTGTGCACCTAGGTATCTAAGAGTACGCATTTTGTTTATTTACTTTTATTTGTTATATTTTTCTTAATTAAAACTAAATAACACATTTATGTCAACATTATCTTACAATACGATCCAATGTGTTATGTCAGTATACCAATAAATGATTTAAACAAATAATTTTTTTTATTGGAAACAATTAGTTAAGTGCGTACTCTTGAGTGATCCTCCCCTAGATATTAATAATAAAACTATAATTAATTAAACACGTCTCTAATTACAGGCAATTAGATGCATATGAGAGCGCCAAAATTAATAAATGTAAAGATAATACGAACAGAGACAATTGCCCAATTCCGTCCAGTTCTCTGTTCCTACTGCTTTAGTTTCAGTAATTAATTGTTAGTTGGTTTTGACACGCTTGGCTAATTTCTGCCACGCCTACTCTGAGCCAACTGAGCGAGTATATAAACTCTCATTTTGTAGATATTAGTTTAGTTTTAATCATCTGCTGATGATGCTAACATGGTTAATGAAACGCGCGTCCAGTGCAAAAGTAAAAGTGTTTTGGTGTATTGTGGTGATTTAGTGTTTTATTTTGCTGTTCAAACACCAAAGGTTGCAAAAAATTAACCAAACCCCCAAGGTACTTACGTGTTGAGCTGCTTTAAGTTGAAATTCAAACTCGACTTTTTCAGCAGTGAGAGTGAGTTCTTGTTGTTGTAGTTTTTCAATTGCAGCTCTCAGGAGGTGTGGAAGTAAAGCATTATCATCCATGCTCTCACAAAATCCTCTAGCCACTGCTCTCCACTCATTTAAATATAACTGATTTTGTGAATCCTGAGCTTGTAAATCTGCAACTGTTTTTTCTAGTTCTTTATATTTGGTAAGGCGATTCCTTAAATCGTGAACCTCTTCTTCTAAAAGAATCTTATTCTTAATATCTGCCTTCATTCTTGCATAGTCATCTTGAAGCTTCTCATTCTCTTTTTCTAACTCCACATATCTTGCCAACTTATGTGCTTGATTCTGAAAAATTTTACCAAACTTTGGAGACTGTACTATACAAATTACGTTACGGTCTGTCGCATCGCCGACTTGAACCAAAGCTTGAACATAGGAAATCCCATGTAAATTTTGAAAAATGTATTCATCATTTTTCAGTTCATCATTTTATTTTACAGAAAAATTGATTTGAAACTTTTTAGAACTCTTTAAAATTAAGCAAATTGATGATTTTTAATATCTTCTAGGAATTCCTTTTGGAATTATTAAAGAAATAATAAATTATTTGAAAAAATAATCCCGTCCTGATTGGAATAACAAACATGCCACCTTCAAATTTAGTTTTTAATTTATACATGCCAAAAATAATTTCTAAATATGAATTAGACAACTGATTATGGAGGAACTAGTCTACAGGCGGTAAAGCATTTATTTTTTGCATATTTTCCAAATAGGCCAGAATAGTTATTAAAGAATGTAAAAATGTAAATAAATGTAAAAAGAATTCCAACAGGAACAGATATAAATAACGACTGTAAATATAAAAAGAAAAATAATATTGATAAGGATCATTGCGAAATATTAAATGAAAATTAATTAGAAAAGTATTCTGTTACAAGTGTTGAAAAACAAGTAAGTACCAGAATACTGGGAGAAATATACGAAAAACGTAGTACGGCTATTTGGCGAATGTGCAAGAAGCATAAAATTTTAAGTCATTTAAATGTTCCAAACATCAAGAATTATTGGACGGGGGTAAAGAACATAGGACAAATTTTCACAAATTTAAAAATTATTAACAAGTACCTAATTTTGTGAATATTGTTTAGTCTTTAATAAATAAATATTTGTTTGAAGCAGTGTGATTACTTATCTCCAAAATGAAGAATTACTTATGTATTTGCTTCATTTTAAGGAGTTCTTTAAAAAGTTTCAAATAAATTTTTCTGTAAATTAAAATGGGGAAAATTTATCAATTTCAAAATTTACATGAGATTTCCAATGTTCAGGTTGACGATGCAACACACGGTATAACTATTACCTTTGCTTGCTCTTGAAATTCTAAATAATCTTCCTTAGCACTTTCTAATACTCTTATTTGATTCTTAGCTTTCTGAAGAGCAACTTCCTTTATTTCCATATCTCTAAGACGAGCATTCTTCTCAGTCAATTCTTTGCCTGAAATAACCAGCATTTTAAATAATTCAGCTTTATTTTCATTGTACTTTTTACTTAATTCTGAAGACAGTTTTTTTTGGGCTTCCGCATCTTCCTGGGCAGCTTGTAAAACAGTTTCTAATTCCAAAAGCTTTCTCTTTAATGCGTATGATTCTACACTGTCTTCTAATTCTGCAGTTTTGGATTCATCCTTTAAATTAGCCAGCTCACTTTCTAGTTTACTAATTTTAGCATCTGTTATAATCTTAATATTACCATAATTTTCTTTTACCTTAAAACAAAAATTGTTTAAATGTAATTCTCAAAATACTAATACTACTATAATAAATATATTAAAATTGAATACCTCAGATAACTCTTTCTTAAATTCACTTTCCCTTTTTCTAATATTCTGAAGTTGCAATTCAAGTTCTTCAATTGACTTCCTATCATATTCGTGCTGTCTTTTAAGACTCTGAGTTTCATTATCAAACATTAATTGCATTTCCTTTCTAACATTATGCATATGTTTTATCCGATTCTCCAAATCAATTATGCTATTCCTAGCTTCAACTAGATCGGCTCTTAAACGCCTCATCTCTCTTGGAGACCCAACATAGGATAAATTAAAAATACTTTCTCGTTTAATTCTCTTTACTGGTGTTAAGTCATCTATGCTGCTTTCAAATGAATTTGTACTCGCCGAACGTTTTAACGGTGAACATTTGTATTCGTCTGAACTGGTGTTATTGCCAGTTGCTTTTAAATCTTTAACCATTTTCACTATTGTTTCATTCAGTTTTGTAGGCTTGCTCATGATATCTTCTAAATAGAAAGCAAATATAATCCTGTAAATGTTATTCAATTTTAATCCACATACTTGACTTTACATATGATAAGATATTTTATAACACAAAACACAAATGTTATTAAACTTAATTCAGGTTTGTAAATTCTGTATTTCTAAAATTATGGATAGAAATTCGACGCTTAAATTCGAATTCAAATATAACCTTAAAAGACAGAACGAGACAGAAGATCATAGCAGAAGATCCGGTCAAAATACAAATGTCCAAACAGTTTTAGAATCGCCGGCTGCGTTGCCGTAGTGTGCTCAAATTATGAAAATTATAGAAATATATATATAAAGACATCCAGTAATAAAGTATTTATTTCAATAATTATTAAAATGCATTTATTCTATCAAAGTACGTTTATTATTATTTTTCTTTTTGTATGAAATCAATAAAAAAAGGATATACCAAAACATGTTTTTGTTTAACATGCCGAATTAACTAATTATTATTGTAAAATTGTTATATACATACAGTAGAAGATAAAAAAACAGCGTTAAAGACGACCGGGAGTGACAATTAATAATAATTTTATAGAGGTCAATCTCTAGCCGTCCTTTACTAAAAATTAACATAATTAAAAAAGTATAGAACATTCCCAAACACACAAATATATTTATAGTAAATAGCTTTTTCTGGAATTTTAAAATATCTACACCATTTAAAGATCATTTTTAGTCAATATAAAATTAAATTACAGCCTTCTTAAGGTCAACTGGCAGGAAGCGCCATTAAGAAAACAAAAAAGTACGGGGCAGGTAAGGCTAAAAATTGAGTCGCGTCTATCGCGTGTGACATGACCTGACACGATGCGAGTCTTTGTAAACAACAGAAATAAATGGGACAGCGCAAATTAGAGCGTGGGGCGACGCGACCCGCATTATTTTTGATTATTGAATACAGTAAAATTTACACTTCGGCATTATGTGACTCTTATTCAGAACTAAAGCTTAGTAACTATAATTGTTTCGATGGTGAATCAGACATTTTTATGCAGACGTTTTTATACGGTCGCAGAGGTGAGTCACTGAAAAACCGCGTCCCAATTTGCGGACCACCAGGAAGCGCGAGTGCCGCGTCGTGTCATGTCATGTCAGGTCATGTCACACGCGATACACGCGCGACTCAATTGCTGTCCTCCATTCGCGAATTTCAAGTTTCAGAGCTTTACGCCCTGGGCTACTCAGAACGGTTCTGAAAGGAGCTGTGTGCGATAGCACAGGCGATAGCCTGGTGCCTCCATATGGCGCGGAACAGTTCTGAACTTTATGACTCAATTGAATGGAGTGAGAGTATTGCGTTCTTGAACAGTTCAGAGCTGCACAACTGCGTGAATGGAGGACAATAATTTACTTACAGTAATTTACTCGCGCACAGCTCCTTTCAGAACCGTTCTCGAGTAGCCCAGGGCGTAAAGCTCTGGAACTTGAAATTCGCGAATGGAGGACTGCAAATTTGCCTAAATGACTTGATGTGACGTCTAGAGTTTGACCTTGCCAAAATTATGAACAATACGCCAACCGTCTAACACCACTTTTTTTTCGATCGTATGGTTGTGGTATGGTAAAACGTAAAACCTAAGGGTAAAACGTTTGATCTTATAAAACTTATAACCTACTATAGCTGCGACAGTGACGTAACTACCGATGTTCAAGCATGAACCCAAATTAATGTAAATCAAATATTAACATCCAATAAGAAAACAGAAGTCGATAAAAATATATCTATTAAAACAACATTAGAAAATGTACGAGAAATAATAATTTTTTATATTCTTAGGAAGTACTATCAAAAAATCTCTCAGATGTGGTTTCAAAGGTCTGAAAAACTATTTGAAAGTGTCTCGAAGTCGAACCTTAGAAATTCGATCATTTGAAAAATCAAACTGATAATCTTGAGTAAAAAATTACAGCACGTTTTAGTAGTAAAAGAATAAACGCTGGGGACTATATTTTAATGAAAAAAATAATCTAAATGTCCTCGAATCAAACAAAGAGTTATTCGAATTAATAGATTTTACAAAAATTTTGATATAATAACTAAAATTAACAGAATATTTTCCGGTTTCTAGAAAGTGGAAAGTAACTTTAAAATTTTAAGGAAATCTGCGTACTTTGCAACTATTCTGATGCAGAACCAGGAAGCAATCGCATGCTTCAGAACAAATACCTATCTTGAAGACGACGTATCAGAAATATTTCCAAAATATGTTTGTTCTTAATACCGTACGATCGAAAAAAACGGCTTTAGCGATAGTTATGAAATGAAGATCGCTGTCACTTTATATGAATGGTGAATGTCATCAATCGTCATTTCCAAGACAACTGGACGCCGTTTTTTATCGATCATACTGTGTATGTATGTCATTTTTTGACCCTATATGGTTTTGTTAGAAATATAGCGATTGCTTCTCTTTCAGAAAAATTTTATATTAGGTATAACAGTATAAAGATAAGTGTCCTTTTTTTATTAAAAAAATTAAACAAAATTATTTGTTCAGGGGGCAAAGGGTCCAAAAAATATTTGAACACGGGCCCGCGACTAAAGCACCTTACTCCAAACTTACATAAAAACCAAAAAATACCATCAAAATAAATATAAAAGTTTAAATAAGATAAATTTTGTGAATTTAATAAATAATAGCAATTTTAAGCTAAAGAAAAAACATGACAACGTTGCAAGGAAATTACTATTCGTTCGACGTAAAACTTTTTGAATTGTGCCTTGTTATAGGGAGCCAATTACTGTAAAACTTAGTAAAAAGCATGATTATATATAAATCTAATAAACTGAGAAATATTTATTAGTAAAATTCAAATCTTATAAATAAGCAAGGCAGGAAAAAAATCATAGAAGGTTCTGGAAAAACTTTTGGCAATCACACGCCAATAAAACAAACCAATCCTGTACTTTTGTTTCCAAGGATTCTGCGCAATGCAATCACTACTGTAGTGGCAAGTGGCAACCGACGCCATTTTGTAAGCGTCGGAATTGTTTGAGAAACGCTCTCGGGAAGCTAGTGTTTTTAACACGGTAGTACGAACTTAAATTTCGTTCAAACTTTGAAAACAAAACGCCGGTATGGGAGATTACCAAGTGGCTGGTGTACAACAGGATGCTTTGGGAGCCGTTCAATTGGAACTCGGCGGAAATCCAAATGCTTTAGCATTACGCCGGCCTTTTGATCCCTTGGCTCACGACTTGGATGCAGCATTCAGATTAACGCGTTTCGCGGATTTAAAAGGCCGCGGGTGCAAGGTACCTCAAGAAGTCTTAAATAAACTTGTCGAGGGTCTCCAGCAGGATTACAACAGCGGTGGAGATCATGAACATCACTTTATGCATATGGCCATTCCGCGTATTGGAATTGGCCTTGATTGCTCGGTAAGCATATAAAGCCGGTTGTTTGCCTTTTGTCTGAAGTCTTCTATTTTGGCGCGGCATATTTCTAATTGTGTATAATGGTTTACTACCTAGATATTAGATATTATTATTGCAAATATGTTACGTACATTTCAAGCAAAGATATCAAGTATTATATTTTTCAAGAATTCCGTGTATACCTAATTTAGTAGATATGAATATTTCGAATTAAATAAAAACAGTAATTGATAGTAACTGAAATATTCCCTGCAAACTTTAACTCACTTGAACATATTTGAAATATAACCAAAACCATTATTTCCAGTTATTTGTATTTAATACTATTTTAATTTGTTTCTAATGTTTATAGGTTACTCCTCTGCGACATGGTGGTTTGGTATTGGTGCAAACCACTGATTTCTTTTATCCCCTTGTTGACGATCCATACATGATGGGAAAAATTGCATGTGCCAATGTTTTAAGTGATTTATATGCTATGGGAGTAACAGAGTGTGACAATATGCTGATGCTCCTGGGTGTCAGCACCAAAATGACTGAGAAAGAAAGGGATGTTGTCATACCTTTGATCATGAGAGGATTTAAAGACTCAGCTTTAGAAGCTGGTACTACTGTGACTGGGGGACAGACAGTTGTAAATCCATGGTGTACAATAGGGGGAGTTGCTTCCACTGTAGCTCAACCTAATGAGTACATTGTTCCAGATAATGCTGTTGTCGGTGATGTTCTTGTTCTGACAAAGCCTTTAGGAACACAGGTAATATAGTAAAATTTTTTTACTGCACTGACTATTTAAATTTAAAAGAATCTGTTCAGCAATAATGCTTATTTTATATTTTTTACATATAGGTTGCTGTAAATGCTCACCAGTGGCTGGATCAACCAGAACGTTGGAATCGCATAAAGTTAGTTGTAAGCGAAGAGGATGTGCGTAAAGCTTATCATCGTGCAATGGATTCTATGGCTAGACTTAATCGCATAGCAAGTAGGCTGATGCACAAATATAATGCTCATGGTGCTACAGATGTTACAGGATTTGGTTTGCTCGGACATGCTCAAACATTGGCTTCCCATCAGAAAAATGAAGTATCCTTTGTCATCCACAATCTTCCTGTAATTGCAAAAATGGCAGCAGTGGCAAAGGCATGTGGTAATATGTTCCAACTTTTGCAAGGGCACTCTGCTGAAACTTCTGGAGGTTTGTTGATTTGTTTGCCAAGAGAACAGGCCGCAGCTTATTGTAAAGATATTGAGAAGCAAGAGGGTTACCAAGCCTGGATTATTGGAATTGTAGAGAAAGGTAACAGGACGGCTCGTATCATTGATAAGCCTAGAGTAATTGAAGTTCCAGCTAAAGAATAAAAGGCAACAAACTTGAGTCATATTGTTTTTAAATTTGATATATATTTCTTTACATTTGACTAGCTGTTAATTTTCTAACTGGTGTAGTCATATGAATGCCACACAGCTTCTGAGTTCTTCACTTGTTTTTTTATAAACATAGCATTTAGCTTTTAAAATCTCTTCTAATGTTATTTTTTCTAATATTTTGGCTCAGTTATTGCTGTAATTATGAATAAAGTTTATATTACTATTTAGGTTTTTAGTATTAGATTATTATTGTGAAAAATGTGTTTTTTATATATATTTCCCACATAAATAGTATAGAATATATATTGAAATTTTTGTATGATAATTTTTAAAATACATGTGCTGTCAACTTGACTTTATGTTCACAGTAAATCAGTAAATACATCATATATTTTGGTTCATATATTATATTATTAGTTTTTTTTACCTTTTATATTAATAAGTATAATTTAAGTTTAATTATAACACTAAATTAGGAATATATAGTTCAAAGATAAAGACTGGCTGTATGCATATACAACAATTTTAGTATAAAGATCCTTTATCTTCAGGATATAGAAAATAAATTTCCACTTTGCCCTTGGATGTATATACAATTTCTTTATGTCTTATCAAATATATTGCGGCTATTCCATATGCTAGACATGGCAATCCTAAAAAACCTTTCTAAATACAACTTTATTTTTATAAAAGAAGTTATCTACATACCCAAGTTAATTATCTTGATAGCCCTAAAAAAACTGTCTTCCACTGTTAGATCTTGCTTATTCCTTTTTGTACAATGATATTTTATATAAGGGTAACAGCCAGTTCTTAAAATATGATAATTTGAATTTCCTACTTGCCAGTTAAAATGTGATTTACCCCACTGATCATCTTGGATACTACTGTACTAAAAATACCACTAATATACATATATTATGTTTGTTTAATAATTATTCACCCAACTTTAATAAAATATGATGTCCAAGGTGGTTCTTTGCACTGTATCAAGTAATGAGATAAAACCTCTGAAGAAGTTGGAACAGTTTTGTTTTTGGCTTTAAATATATTAGTTCCTAGTCTAAAGACCATGATAGGCATAATAAAATAATAATAACTATCTATTTACAAGACAGCATGAATGTTAACCATTCATTTTTGTTTTTTGATTCTTTAAAGTCATTAATTTATTTGCCTATAATATTTTATATTGCCATAAAGTTATTTCTTCAAAAATAAAAACAGCTGATCGTCAGCTGATTTTGACGTACAGTTAATAGCGTCACCTGTTGCGGAGTAGCAGAGATATGACACATTAATTTAAAAGCACTGAATCCACTGTATATTTTTAATAAAATAAGTAAAATTAACAACATATATATTGGGATTTTAGACATTGAAAAGAATTAAAATATAAAAATACAATGTAATAATTTAAATATAACTTCTAATATGCATTTTTTAAAATTACAATTTCGAACGATGTTATAGTGGCAAAGGTACCATCTGTGGGTACCATGTCCACCATTGGCACCATCTGTGGGCACTAGCGGGACCATTCATAACTTTAATCATTTCGTTAGTATATTCATGGTATATTCTGTGACTTTAATTACAAAATATAACATGGCTGACTGCTTGTAGCTTGTAGTTCTTGTTCTTGAAGCAGAGTTAAGTTGTAGATGTAGATTAGGGCGAGTTGTATAAGAAAGACCTAATTATTTAATGGTCCATCCTGTACCGTAATAAAAGTTAGGTGTTACAGAACTTAGTGAAGTGATGTGTATACGAAAATATATTTGTACGACTGCTCTTATTGCTTTCTGTAAAAACAGTTTTTCTGCGCAATGTTTTTACTGAATATTGTTCAATGACCCTACCTATTAGACAATGTTATCATAATGCTCATGGAGGAATAATCTAATAATTATTGTAATTATTAGAATTTTTCATTGATAACACTTTTGAAGATGGATAAAGAACAAGAGTTAATAATTCCCTTATCTTCAGGTAAGAAATATTACCTAGCTGTTTAGTATATTTTTGTAGACGGTTTTCGGTAAATAATATATACTAAATGAATTCATACATTATACTTGGAATATATTATATTTCTAATTTTCCTAATGTCCCTACATATTAAGAATAGGTATTAAATTATTTTTATAAAACTTTGTGTTCTTCATTTTGTGCATTGGATGCTTTCTTTTGTATCTATTTAAATTCTTAAATGTTAAAATTTTGCTGAGGTTTCTGAAGAGTTCCGCGTGAATGTTAGAACTTAATAGTCAGCAAAACTTTTGTATGAAACAAGTCCTTATTATTAATTATAACTACAAGAATCAAAGGAACTATGAAATGTAGCAGTGCTGTGATAAGAAATGTCTGTCTCCATTATATATAAATATTTATTATTTTATTAGTTAATTAAATTAAAAATATTATTATTTTAGCTAATATATTTGTAGGTAGTCAAATTAAATTTTTAAAAGGGTATGTTTATGAAGAAACAATATATTTTAAGTACCTATACCTTTTTCATGTCATTAAATTTCTAATGGTTCTAATATTTCTATGATGTTTTTCTCAGCTAAGCAAATAGGGTTGTTGCTAAGTAGCATTGCTGGGTATTAGCATAGGTATTAGAGAATAATACTGCTTCAGTTAATTAATACCCAATTTGTATATTTTAATTCTTTCCTTATTAAACTATTGAGTGTGAACTAACATCAAATTGATTTTGTGGTGTTACTTCATACATCATTCTTTAATACACGTAGTATATTAATATATAGTATATATTAGTATAATATATTAATATGGTAAAATCTATATTATATTAATATTCATTACGTGACAATCTTCAAGATTTAATATTAACCAAATATAAATCGTAACTTTTTTTATGGTGACAATATGAAGGAGATTCTTATTATTTTAGGCTTCAAAACACAATACCTGTAATAATAGTCTTGTAATCAGTCACAATCACATGATTTTTATATTCTAGATAATTTTCTAAATTCTAGATAATAATAATTATTTAATGCCCAAAGTCGGGCCCAAAGTATTCACAATTTGAATTTTTATAACAGAGAAAAACTTTTTTTTGAAAAGAGGTGTTTTAGTCTTAAGCTTCATTCATTCAAAAAATATTACTTGGTAAAAATCGCTGGGGGCAACCGTTCTCAAGATATTTGGATTCTTAATAATCAATCAATCACAAAATATTTATTACTTATTAATCATCAATGACAAAAATTAAACATGTTTACTATATTCGATGCCAATTGAACTTTTAGTTACGTAATCGAGCATTGTTGCCAACCATGGACCATTCGGCGCCTGACTGACGAACTGGAATTTAAATTTCCCGCTGGGGATTCAGGTGGTAGCTCTGCTGTAAAAAAATGCCCACTTGCCACATTTATTTATTTCCTGACATTGTCATTCGTTTTGACACTTTAGTCTTGTATTACGAGTTAGAAAAAGACACATATTTTTTCACTCACTAGTGTAATACAGGGACGGACGAAAAGTTATTACTCTTCAAAACAGTTAAAATTTGTAGGTGGCGCCCCCTACAAGTAGGAGTCATATTGAAATCGAAATCAAATTTCTCATGTTCAAAAACCTCCAGATACTAATTTTCATCCAAATATCGAATTTAGTTCAGAAATTATTAGGAAAAAATAGAAATAAAAATGAAACTTTTACATCCTGTATCTTAGAAATGAAGAATTTTAGGACATACGTTTATACGAACTTTTTTACTTATTTTTATGTGAAGAACATGCTACCGAAGTTTCCGGAATACAGTTCGGACCACCCTGTATAGAAGCGAGTCTACAGGGTGCTACAAATTCGAGGTACGAGCATTGGTATCTTGGTAACCGTAATAGATACGAACATAGTTAAATTGGGGTAAAGTTAAGCTTTGGGATGTTCACCAAGATGCCATCAAAAAAGTTTTAAAATTTTCAAGGATTGCTGAGTTTTTTTGAAAAAAATGACTTTTTTGAAAATCAATTTTATTTTTTCCTGTCGTTACTTTTTAGAAAATTAAAAAACTAATTGCATATTCTCATAGCCACTTTAGGAGTATCTGTTAGTATTTTTAGATTTTCAAATTAGCTGATAATTTGTGAGATATAGAGACCAACTTAATTTTTTTAAATACGGACTTGGATTTTTTATTTCAGATTTTGAAAAAACTCGTTCTTCTGAGTACAATGATATACCACACTTTATACGTTTTTTTTTTGTTTTGGGTACCTTAACAACAACAAAACTATTTAATTATTATTTAAAATAGTTTAAAGTCCGACTCCGCGCTAATTAACATTAAATAAGGAAAATCGTGCCAATTGGAAGATCCAGATAAATAATATCCAGGCTAAAGATATTATTTTTAACTTTTTTATTGTGAATTTAAAATCTCAGTTTGCGATCTAATAATATGCATAATATGAATCGTATTTATTATAAATAAATCAATTTCTGCAAACTAGTTTCTGATGCTCTATATCTTCGAAAGGGTTCAAAAGTACCAGGAACCTCGCTAGCCATTAGGCTCCGCGCGCACTGCATCGGATCGGACTGACCAGCAAAAGCGACTGCGACCATCGTACATATAGACCACAGAACACACTAAAGAAGAACGCTAACTCCCATGCATTTTTTAGTTTCAAAACGGTTTCAAATTTGTAAAGAAATCTGTAATCTGTATATTGAAGTGGCGCCATCTAGCCACCCAGGAAAGTAACAAATGTGGCGGCAAATTTAAATAGATGCAATTTATTTTTAAGGAAGACGTATTGACTTGTTCGCCAGTTAGGGCCAGTCAGATTTCTACAAAATAATGTGTAGTCATCTGATTGGTCCCAAGTTGGCAAACAAGTCAAATGGTAAAAAACAAGGATTTATATATAAAGGTTAAACTATTGTAAAGTGTTAAATGGTTTGCTTATATCATTTTATGTGCATAAAAACCTACAATAAATAATTTATTTTAATTTACAGAAAATTATACCATGAAACATTTTACAAACAAATAAAACAACAGATTAAAAAGTATAATATTTATTATAGTACCAGATTTAAGAACACATAACAAATATCGTTGGAATACAAGAGAAAGTGACGTCCATTAGAAACAATGTTTTATTTATGTGTATTTTTTACATATGGACTTGAACAATTGTGTAATATCATATTGTGAAGTTTATGTACAAAAATATGGAGTTGATCAATTTTTTTTGTAAAAATATATGGCGTTGTAAATATTACATTGTTAAAAAATAAAATTCACGAACATTTGGACTTGGTTAGGTTACCTCACCTCGCTTTCTCGGATTATTAAATAAAATTGTTAGATAAATCAAAAACCTTTAACTTAAACCTTACCTTTAATAGAGATCTTAAAAATCAAACACAAAACAAAGTTCAAAAAAATTCAAAAATACAAAATCACGATTTTAAAATGAAGATTGCAAAAAACACAGCCAAACAACCAGCAAACAGCGAAACGCACATCTCCGTTCAATTGCAAAACACAACTGAAGAGGAAGGAGGAAGCCGGAAACGGAAAACTGATTTGACATACAGAACAATGACAGAACATAATTAATAGGCCTATTTAGGCAACTATAAAAACAATTTTGTACGCAATTGTTAGGCAACTAGAAAAATTAAAATAAAAATACGCCATCTAGCGCCACAGGAAATTACTATCCCAAAAACAGATCGTTCAAGATCGTATATCTCAGTTGACTGGCCCTGATATAGACGGCGCCGGCGTCCACTAAAACATTTCGGCCTGTAGAGGCCAGATTCCTACCTTTACCTATCTACGATAGTCGAGTCACCGCCTTCGCCGTTTCTCGCCGGACTGGTACCGATTCAGTGCGCGCGGAGCTTTATACTGCTCTATCATTACCAATCAGTCTTCCTGGAAAATTACTTGATTGTTTATATTATATTATATTATTTATTTTATTTTATTTTTTATTTTTTTTATTGCATTTTATTTTCCGTATTCAATGTTTTACCCCACGTCATTGTTAAGTTTGAAAGCTTATCAATATCTGTGTCAATATTGTAACGATGAATAGATTAAATCCTTAAATATTAAAAAAAAACAGAGCCGGACTTGAAATTAGTTTAAATAAATTGTGTTCAAATGTGCGAAACAAAAAAAAATATTAAGTGTGGCATATCATTGTTCTTAGGAGACCGAGTTCTTTCAAAACCTGAAATAAAAAATGCAGGTCCGTATTAAAAAAATTAAGTTAGCCTCTGTATCTCACAAATTATCAGCTAATTAAAAAAACTAAAAATACTATCAGATAGTCCTAATAAAGTGGCTAAGAGAATTTGCAATTAGTTTTTTGATTTTTTAAAATGTAAGGGACAGGAAAAAATAAAATTGATTTTCCAAAAAATCCGTTTTTTTCCAAAAAAACTCAGCAATCCTTGAAATTTTTAAAACTTCTTTGACAGCATCTTGGTGAACATCCCAAAGCGGGCAACTTTGCCAAAGACTAACTATCAAAGGGTACGAACCATAGACTTAAAATAAAATATAGACTACACTATTTACATCTCAACGCGGACAAACAACCTTTTTTGTACACATGTTTACTTCTGGGTACAGTCGACCGAGCCTTCCTCATCCAGCCTATGTTGTCACGTCTTTAATATTATCAATATTTTTTTTCTTGTTATACACATATATTGAGATATTAATACTACAGTTTAATAAAGTAGGTTTTAATATTCCATAGATGTATTAAATAGTCCTTATACTACTAAATTATAAGTCGGATACTGTTTAATAAGGATAAGTTCTTTACAATATGACAACACCGATTAGAGGCGAGGGAGCCTATTCATTCATTTATTACCTTGTAGTACGTGTCGCACTTGTGCGGTAAAGCTTTGTTGCCGCTATCTCCCCGGCTGTATTAACGCATTTTCTTAGCTTGTAGTCCTTAAGTGTTTATTTTATT